AAGATCCCATCGCCACTCCATCAACTTGTCTGTACAACTCGTTGTGGAGTTGGAACTGTATGTTTTAGATACCTCTGAGCAAGAGCTTTTTCACTTTGATAGTTGGTGTTCCAAGTTTTACCCCGTCTCTAAGAAGGGGACGTTTGTGAACAGTGAGAATGCATCCAATGAGAACATCTGATGGTCTAGGATATTCATGCTTCGAAAGCCATATATAGATATAGATATATATTTATATATCTATATATTTATATATAAGGTGTGTGCGCCATGCTGAGGCTGATGTTGCATTCTTGATGCTTCTTCACTGCAGTTGGGCTAAACCAACTTGCACTTAAACTAGGTCTTTTTAATGTGGATAAAATTCATTACATGTTATTTGGTTTGTTCTGCGTACTTGATAATCTTCTATTAACTGGCCACGTTGCTTACGCTAATTGCGCTTATCTTCGGTAACTGTTGCGTTTGTAGCAGTTTTAAGTAACTTGTGGACATTTTCACTTATCACGGATTCGTTGCTAACCAACCTACTTCATATACTAATTTAGCGAAGAGTTATGCCACCGTATCTGTATGCATTATTAGATTTGTTTTTTTCATTTTGTCGTTTCAAGTGATTGACTGTTGCTTGTTATCCCCGGTGTGGATGCGCTTGGTGTGCATGTTGACAAGGTAGCTACCTGTCTATTACCCACTACCTCGTCCATACTGGCTCCAGGAGACAGTTGGTCGTTGCTGAAGGGTACGGAGAGCACGGTGTCTGTGGCCGCGTTAGGATCAAAGAGTGGTTCCATGCACTCAATGTGGAGCGGACTACGGTCCAGCCACCGTCTTGTGTGTGCTTGATTCCCAAATACAGCGTGCTTGTGTTTACCTGTGAAGGAATGTGGACCTGCTCTGTTGATGAAACGTGGCTCCCATCCGCATGCCTCCCGGTCTTATTCCTTCGGGTTTACACTGGATATGAGGTGTGTGGATGGAACTGTGGGTGGTGCAGCGCAAGCCACCCATGGTCCCTCTGTAGGCGCAGGCGTCCTGTGGCTGGCCACAGTGCAGGTAAATCCGAAACCGGATGCCGCCAACCACATAAGGTGTGTGTGTGTGTGTTGCTTCATCGTATTTTAATAGGGCACGTGCGCGAAGCACGTCATTGATTCCTGCGCGTTTGGAGCATATTACAGATGTGCCATAGGTTATTCGGGCGTAATGCGTTCCCTCAACCTGAGATCCGCAAAATGAGCGTCTAGGAATTGCTCGAAATCCAATCCGCTGATTACGCCTCGACTATTTCCTCTGGCAAACTGTTGCGATATTTTACCACTCGCTATGCAGTTATTCGCTTTAGGTGCGGTACCACAGACTTATACCGGTACCCGCGGGTAGCGCTTTGTGCGCCCACGTTCAGTAATGACCTCAACATGGAGAAGTGGCCCAGATGCAATATGCGATGCGTCATTATGGGGTCCAGTCGAAACCGAAGAGACGACGGGATGTTCAGTCCTAGCCACCTTCATGGTACTTCGTACGACACCCTGTACATGAGGAACGAATCTGGTTCCTACATGTTATGTATGTGCTGTCCACACAAATACGGAAGCAGGCACATCAGCTCTGGCTCTAATAGTCTCTGGGTTGTGTAAGGGGCACCAAAAATGATACCAGAAATAGAGGTGTTGTTTCAACCACTGGTGTTGTATACTTGATATGTCAACCCTGGGGAACTCTCCAGAACACAATTTGGCTGCTGCCCTACTGCTAGATCAAAACATCCAGATTGGTAAAAGACGCATGCACAACAGAAATATGTTCAAACAAAGTTAAATCGTTCTTCACATGGTTACTCCAAGTTTTACCCCAGTAGCACTTTGGAATGGATCAGAAATTTGCAGCCAGCGCAGTGTAAAATTATAGAAGCATGTACAACTAACCTCCCTATCGAGCGATTACCATCCGTGAATTAAATTTACCCGTGCTATCCCATTTAGCAATTGTACGCTGCGACTAATTTCACTCATACTTGGATTCGTTGGGTAACATTTTGGCAATTGAGGTCGGATTCTTGTGTCACACAGTCAGTGGCCGACATCTCTTACTCCAGACTCGGTGAGTACGCCTTATCTAGGTATCGCTCAAAATGTGTCAGCTCGTAGGTTGAACACGCACCATTACTTACATAATACGACTAAGTATGTATACATAACGAATACTGTCACCCTGAATGGTCACATTCAGTTACCCCATCGCCACACCCATTTCATTGCATACATGTAAGTACCGGCCGTCTCATTGCTAGGCATAGTGCACGTTTAAGTGAACGGCAGATTCAGGACTTTTTGGGTCTCTTATTCAATTCTTAAATTAAACTATTGCTCATTTTTGTCATACCGTGTACCTAGCCCTGTTGTTTCTTTGAAAATGTAGCCAAACCTTCCTTGGCCATCATGTTGGAGTGCCGGATGGATTCGTTGATAAACAAAACACTTTAGTCGGTTATCTGACAGACCATACAACTGCTACGCCTCTTTTAATATTCCAGTGTTTTGGTTACAGCAATTGCTGTCCCAATTTGTGTATTGACTCTAGCATGACCTGTTAGGTAATATGGTGATCACGCCAAACGTTTAAACAGTGTGTTCTTAGTTACATCCTGGGGATACTTGTCAGCACGGCTCAGTTATTCAATGCCCGTCCGGCTTCAGTACCGTTCTGCTATGGTTGTCAAGGCGACCGAGTCAGGAGTTCGCAAGTCTTCAACCGAGGCTGTCGAGACAGCTTGCGGCCAGTAACATTTCGACTGTTTGCCTATTAGTTCCAGCCGATCACACTGGACACCACCGATGATAACAGTGGGCATGCTGGGTTGGTCGTCCCCAGCTGAGATAAGCCAGGGTTCAACACACCCCGGGCGCTCATAGACACCGGTTTTCACGACCAGTTCCTCTTTCCTGGAGCCTTCACAACTACACTGCTGTGTTGGATTGACCACAATGTTTAGCAACGATCTGCATCCCACTGCGACTACGACCTGAACATTCACCGTAGGAAAAATGAAACCTCAGTAATTCATGAACAGGTAATCCCACCAATTAGAATGACTGCGGGAGATTAACAGAGAGCTCCTGTTAAATTTGTCTTAAAAGAATTAGCGAAGTCCTTTGAGCGGTGCATAAGACCAACGGTGTCATTTATCAAATGCTTTAGTTATCTCAACAGTGTAATCCCTGGGTCGCCCATAGACTGCACGCACCTGTTACGGCAGGTGTTAAATAATGCGGGTACCTAGTTGATTATTTGTGAGGTGACTTTTGAGCCAGATAAAAATATGGGCATACGATGTAACCAATGCAGGGAAATAGCTCGTGTATTTTAGGCCCCAACCGGTATAGTGACCAATCCAGGGATATGAGCGGAACCTAAATCTGCAGTTCAGACCAGGAAATGTATGAACGCAAACGAACATCTCGATCGGAACTAATATCGCAGTAACTGTAGAGTTCGTTATTTTTCATAACGATTGAGCTAACCGCAGTACCTGAGATCTGAGAATTAATGGAGCCATTTATAATACTATATGTGGTGAACCAGTCTCAAGTGCAGAAAGGAGGCTTAATGTCTGCTCAATCAACCATTTAATGGATGAAGAGTGCGATCAGTGCTGTTGTACTAAATTCACCCTTGCGGCGAAATCCTCGACATAACAGTGACGGGGAACACCGAAGCCATGGACGCCGTGTTATGCCACAGCTGCTGACACCGGCGGTAGAGTGCTACCTAAAGCATTCTAATGTAGATGCCACAAGGTACGCATCGACCCCCCGGACCAACTATAACTCATCGGAACGCGTTTTAGCAGCTCACCGTTCCCACTGCTCATTCGATTTCTTATGACCGTCAACGAAGGCTGTTTCCACGACGTAAATAGGTCATTGGGGCTGAGCCGCATATCTACCAAGTATTATATGTTGAAATAGCGCTCACTCGTCTGACTGTTCACACCACATATAGCTGGACCTTGAAAAAGTTTGGCGATGTGTGGATATAGTTCATCAATCTCCCGCTGCTTAACAGTTGCCTAAAGTATACTTTGCGATAGTTCCCAACGATTGCCTATGCTGAAGTTTCCTTACTGGCACCAGTACGCCCACTGAGCAGTAATTCGATACATAGTTGGGTTTTAAATTTCTTGGCCTAGGATTCTGTGCATGGTACACTGCGATGCACAGTTGATTAGTGGCCCGAGTTACCTTGTAGTAGTCTAACACTAACCATTAAGACCATACCCAAGAATTAATACATTCCAGACTTTGCTAACCCCCGATCATGAACTCTAGGAGTGGCGTTTGCAAATAGGAAGTGTCAGGTCTGGGAACAGAAATCAATGCCTTGTGACTGCCAAACGGCTACTGCACTGCTTACCATAGTTCCATGTATGGTCGGTGTTGTAGTGATAATCAACACAATAGCCGAAATTCGTCTGCTCTTGGATTTAGCCGATTGCATATACTTACACTGTTTAACTGGCAGTGTACACCCAACATACGAAGATAAGTGTGCCGGGGATGCGATTGATATCGCTTTCTGCCGCTCCATTTGTGGACTTCGATTCGCGGTCACATCACGCGGATCAAACAAAGCGAGAGTTCTGTTCGTGAACTGATAGGACTTCACGCCAGAGTGGGCGTGAGGTTGCGAACTTTTCGGTTGACAAATTATCACAAGTACGGACACTAACGCGTTGGAACACGCGAATGCACACAACCAACGCATACGTTGACCGTGACGCATGACATGTGGATGTGGATAGCGCTTCTCCTCGCCCACGATTCGTCAGTCCCCATGTTACCACACCTCTACGTCCACATTAACTGGAGATAGCGGCGAGGTAACACGGTTGCGTGTTTCCGATTGGCTAAAATTGTAATCCGTGCGGTGTGTCGTTTGGGCAGGGCACCTCAACCCGAGCTTGTCCGCGTGGTGCGTGCGATTGACCAACCGCCTGAGGACATTCGGCGCACCACAACTCATCCAAGGTGTAGAGGTCTGTCAGAGCCTACTTAATGTTTATACGGTTCCGGGACCTGCGGAACATTGTTGGTGTGATCGATTGACACAAAGACCGGGTGCTGACACTGTATGTTTTCTTCCACATTGTGCGACCATTGCCGAATAATCGGAGGATATTATCAAGTTTGAAATTCCGGACCTAAGGTTAGTGTTGTTTACATTACAATGCGCAAGCATTCTTTAATTTTTGGTTTAACTAATGTTCCAATGGTTGAATAAAGGACATACATTTGAATCCCATAGATTGGCGTAGTTACCAAAAACTAAGCTTTGCCTAGTCATACTTCGCTTCGAGTAACAAGGCAGGTACAAAGTATGGTGTCGACAACTGGTAGGGGAGGTTAGTGACTTGCATGCTTGTTTGTCCCATTGTGCCTAATGCTTCGACACCGCAGTTGGACTACACCGAATTACACTTAGACTAGATCTTCTTAAGTTGGATACAAACTGTTCTACTTCATTTGATTTGCTCAGTTCTGTTATTCTGCTGGATATTGTGTCAATTTCGCTTGCATCTTTTCCTTCAAATTCATTATTGGTTGTTTGATATCCCTGTTTTGGCTGCGCTTGATCTGAATGTTGCCAAGGTGCCTACCTGTCCTATACCCTCCACTTAGATTACTGGCTCCAGAACACTGCTACTCTTTGCTGCGGGGACGAGGTGCACGATCCGCTTGGCCTTTCTAGGCTTAAAGCATGGTTTCATACGGTGTGGAGCGGACTACTGCCCGGTCACCGCCTTGTGTACCCCTGGTACGCATGATTCCCAAAGTAGACATCCAAGAATGTTACTGTTGTGCGTGTTGAAGGTGTGCGCCAACTCGTTGATAAAACGTGGCTCCCATCCGCATGCCTCCCCGTCTTATTCCTTCATGTTTACACCGGGATAAATTACAGAATAAACTGTTTTACACATAAATTAAAAATTGGACCTCTGTCACTGCTGCGGGTCACATGTCAAGGCGTACCGTAGTGATGAGAAGTAGACCGGTGTCGGCAATTGGCAAGGGAGCTACCTACCATGCCTTTTTAAAGCGCTTTTTGCAGGCAATGAATTGGATGGCTTTAAATTAGTCGCTTGCGTAGGCGATTGTGCTTAGATCTAATCGCAGCTTAAGGTCTCTAACGGAGTAGTATAGGATTCGGCGACGCTGGAAACGGATTCAAATACAATGTGCAGGGGTCGACCATTAACATTAATGATGAAGGCTTGGCAATAAAAACAGGTGTTCTAACTTTCATATTTGTATTGTGACTACGTCCGATCAGCTTGTTGTATGCTTTGATGTTTACTAGCCCGGTTTTCTTCCACGTCACCGCCTAGGATTCATCAAGTCATCTCACAGCCAACTTCTGAAGTTCTACTCATTTAGCTGTGCAATCGTCGTGTGGCTGTAACTGTTGATATTATAACCCAACGAAGTTAATTTCTTTTCCGGGCTACGGATCAGCATCGTGGAACACAACTGTTAATCACTTGTTGGCCATAATAGACAAAGTCTTGGATTTCTACTATTAGATACAACCCCTAGGGCATTTACCCTTGGAGTTGAGGGCACTATTTAACCGAATGGCATATCAACTTCTTGTTCCAAGCACACAGTTTACCTCGTATAGGGATACACCGGTCCCCACCTCTGTTCCCTTTGTTTTAATGCGTTGCACAGTACGCAATGATGCCACAGTCATCGGTTTGCTGGGGAATCCATATTAACCCGCTAAACATGCGAACCTCAGTTTCACGGAACAAGTTGCATCTGGTTTAACAGTGCACACGGTTTCCAGAAGCCATATGCCGTACATAGCTGAGAATGCAGCCCACATACCGCAATTCCGTGCCGTGGGGCAAATTACTCGCGTATACTCATTGCTTCTTTCCATCAATTGGATCACGAGCGGTTAGGCTCGAATTGCTATGGGGCGTACTCCAAAACCCGAAAATTAACTTTAGTCGTTGTGTCAAGTGCTGCTTGCGTAGCTTACTGGCTTAGTGATCACGGTTGTAGCCGCCAGATCGTATGTGCTGAGTTTCAATTCCAGCTCAGGCTATCTCTACGTGATGAGTCCAAAGCAGAAAGAAACGCGTCGTGGAATGCAGGGATGGGACAGTAACACCGTAACCCTCTACCATGGGCCGTGTGTACGTGAACGGTACTCTAGTCTAACGATAACATCAACCGTTCCGGCTATTAACAATTTACCTGGCAAAAAACATTTATGTGTACCGAGCCTAATATTCAGTTGCTAAACACACTGACTCTCAATCGCAGGAACCTACATATCAACCTTGGTTTGCGTAACCTCAACCTGAATATTTCAAATAAGAATAATTTCTATCTCAGGCCTTGTCGTCAGGTGCAGGTGAAATGGAAGATGCCGGTAAATTCATCACCAATACACTCCATCAGATGACCTTCAACGTCTAGAACAGCACTGAGCAATCGATACCGTTTCACAGTATTTTTCCACGGGACAAATTCTGTCTACTTCACGCGAAGCTATAACTCGCAACCCTAGCATTACCAATCAGTGGTTAAAACCAATAAGTTATGTGGGATGGAAACCACCGATATAAGTAACTATGCTCTTTGTGGTATACCGTAGTTCACTACCCATGAAGTTGAATGCAACTGCTCTAGCAAAGGACAGTGAGTCACCTGACAGTGGGCCCGATTCGGAGGGATAACAAAAATCAGGTGACAGGCTCCAGTCTATGAAATACATGAGACCTCAAACTTGATTACTATCTATCTCCCTACCACCTCTGCAAGTTGACCGGTTTGATTTTCATTGCCTAAACATTCACCACGTCAAACATGGGTTCAGGTCTCTGTATGTGAATTAACTTTGTATGCTGACCATTTTAGTCCAGTCTCTTGAGTGGTCGAATCATGGGAGGTCTTACCTTATTGTGGTGGTGAAACCTTTCTATTTGCTAATAAGTCCCATATATTTGCGTAAGTACACCTCTCTCTATACTTGCTGCCATGTTTCCTAGGCGCCTAGTAACGTGAGGTGTTCATGAGGGTGCAACAGGGCACGCACGGTTGCCTACATGCGCACTGGTGACCCTGAATTCCATGTCCGATTTACCGCGAAAATTCTGCGTGTCGGTTTTGCATCCAAAAAATGTCTTGTCGGGACTAAGAGCGGAAGTCATTCAAGTTCATGGGATGCCCATCGGACACTCATGAGACACTCATGATTACATGGTTATATACAGCTAACAGAATAACCGCTGAGCACTGGCCTCCAATGTCATTGTAATTCATTCGAATACAGTACTGATTGTATCGTCGTAATTCAGCCAAACTCAGTTTATCACGTTAATGTGTGAAAAGTAAGGAATTTCCGTAGTTTACAAGACCAATGTATCACACGGCGTTACTCAACGGTGGCTTCTATGCGGTTGCAATTTTCCCCAAATTAGGCCACCTAAGTGGTACCAGGACACATTGGATGCAATTGCAGCTTCACTCACAAAGTTGATCGAGAAGTGACTGTTCGTCCACACATTCTCATGCTTGGGAATGCCTGATACATAACAGAACTTCATATAGTAATATGTATGTTTACCGCAGGTCAAACCAGTTGTCGCGCGTAGTGGCCTAGATATCACATAGTCACCTAGAGCAATTCCTTCTGTTCGATACTGTTGTATTCATCACTATTGCCCACATGTGTCGATACGTTTACCATTTCGAAGGCTTCATCTTTTGACAATCGATAAAGCAACCCAGCAGTAAACATTTCTCCACGCTGGGGAAATACCAACAAACTTCTCGCGTGCAATAACACCGTTTCTAAATCATTGGCTGTCAATCACAAATGTATGTGGATACTATCCTACTTCTTACCTTAACTGCCACCAAACTTCTTCATCCTTGTACGCAATGCCTTCTACTGATGACTGTTTAACGTATCTTTAGGCTCACGTCTTATGTAAACTTCGGTTTTTCGTTTCAGTGCCTTCCAATTGTTCACTCTCTCCCTTGAGCTGTCAAAAGCTAGGTTGTTGGTTGTATCTCCCATGCAAGCCTATTCCAGTGCCGGACCTTATTTCCGCCTGGATGCGAATCCAATGCAACAGCTGGAGGATTATTCGACCAGATACCACAGCTCACTAGATCATTCGTCCTGCCTAATGGGCCGTTGCTGTCTCACGTGTGAACGTAGCAGATCATCCTTGCCGCAGTATCGGTTGCCTATTGGTGAACTCACGTCGATAGATACCTACATCCAACCTACAAAGAGCGTGTCTGATCATTATAAACGAAATGTACTCGAATCGTCTGGCAAGGTGATAACTACCGATTCTGTATTTCAAGGGGATGTCTCACAGAACTCCACGATTGTCACATCAGACTCAACGGTTTGCGACAATGCACAGGTACCCGCAACTTTCAGTGAATGGCATGCCTCCCTCAATGCAAAAATGGACGGCACCTTTCGCGAACGGACGCTGACTTGTCCGCACAAAATGGAAGAGGAAGTTTACACTGGCGAGTCAGATGCTCGTTCAGCTAATCAGTGCAACCCACTCACCACAACATCCTCCTCGTCATTGTCCGACGACCTGGACACAATACTCCGGTCACCTATAACGGAGCATGAAGAACCAGATGCCACCTCATGTCATAGTGCCCTCCAACACCCGGCACCTACGGAATCGAAAGTGAAAAGTCCATTTCAGGATGCATACCAGGCGAGTTCTCCTATGGCAACAGCTGGTGAGTAGTTGCACGGCTCTTACGTCTATTATCGCTAGCAGTAGAATCTTGGGACTGTAACTTAGGATGTGCATCACTAACCGAAATTTGAAGTGATTTTTAATATTCTAGACACTATTACTAGGTACTATAACATTTATTGTAAAACTCATAACCGACATTTTCTCGGTTGGTAGTTTTTGGGTTATATCCTTACACTTGGTTTGTCACTAGCGATCCACTCCGCTGATATGCTCAACTCCGTGAGAGGTAACTTTTATATAGATGCGTCTCATATTAACTCAGTCAAGGATAACTAATTCCTCTAATGGGATCAGTGCAATGATGTTGACTCCATAGGCAATATGTGTCATCATGCCAGTTGGCGGCATCCGTTCTCTCATTTATATTGAGCCATGCACGTGGGCTTCCACAGTGGGCCTGTGCCTTCAGAGGGACCATGAGTATCTTCGCTATTCCTTCCTCTATTCTGTGTAGACCCAGTTGAGTAATACTGGTAGACGTGCGAATTGAAACCACCCTCAGTTCGCAGCCGCCCCACATGCTCCCCATGAGTACGTAAACTCAGGTGACACCATCGCAAACTCATGATTAACCCCAGAAGCATTACAAGAGCGCTTGTGGCACATGTTGATTATGTTAGCTAACCATTCTTTCACCCCATCCTGAATAGTGGCTTGGACACAGTTCATTTGACATTGCCGTCGTTGTTTGAGAGGGCTGCATTGGTGAATGCTTTGTGCTCCACCACTCCATTCCATGGTCAGCGACCCATTAGGGTCAGCAACTTTGTGTCGACACTAGGTAAACATTCGCATCCATTCTAATCTACTATACGTGGGGTGTTCAAAAAGAAACCGAACTTTTGAACTACCGCGCCAACCGGCAGAGAGAGCGCGCTACAGCTACTGAACGCATGTAGAGGCTTGTTCAGATAATAAACTGTCCTTTGCTACATTTCCTTCTGCCTGTTTGTTGAGGATCTACGGCCACTGTTGTGAGCACCCACACAAGCTGATCGTCGGATTAGTGCCAAAGAGACAATGAAAGAGCTTGAAGAACAACCAGTGTGTGTATGAACGTTTGCTACAAGCTTGCCATAACCTTTACAGAGACATTTCAATTGCTCAGCCAAGCAAATGGGGAGTACTGTATGAGTAGAACACAGTGCTGTGAGTGGTTTAAGCGTTTTGTACACGACAGCGTGTCGGTCGGTAATGCTCCCAAGCCTGGACGACCTTCTACCTCAACAGATGATAGCTATGTCTAGAGAGTTCGTGCTGTGGCCCGTGGCAAACATCGTTTAAATGTTCGAGAAGTTGCTGACCTAGTGGGCATCAGGGTAGGATCATGCCATCAAATGCTAACGCATCGCGCCATCAAATTCTAACACGTTTGGGGGATGCTGTGCACAGGAACAGGTCTGGACTGTGGAAAAACCAGACTTGGATATTGCATCATGACAATGCGCCGGCTCACACACCGCTACTTGTCCGCAGCTGTCTAGCAAAACATCGCACTCCCGTTGTGCCCCATCCACCGTATTCTCTTGACCTAACCCCTGTAGACCTTTTCCTGTTTCAAAAACTTAAAGGTACGTTGAAAAGACGTCATTTTCAAACCATAGAGGAGATTCAGGACAATGCGACAAGAGATCTGCGCGCCATCCAAGAAAGTGCGTTCCAGGAGGCTTTCCAAAAATGGAAACACCATAGGGAACGGTGTTTGCCAGTAGAGGGGACTATTTTGGGGGGTTTGTTTAAAAGGTTGTACAACTGGCAATAGAGATGCTATAGCAAAAGTTCTGTTTCTTTTCGAACACCCCTCATACACCTATTTGTGACTACAAAACATTTTCCTACCGCATTCGAGTAGTACCACTCCGGGAATGTTTGTCTAAATCACCCAGTGTGCTTTTTCTTCGTTGTACAGAAATGCAGAACACTACCAGCTTTGCATTTGGATTTCATCCATAATGTATCGCCGCTTTGCTTTGTAAAGCACGGTGATTCACCACTTGTTGCGGTGGGAGATTTGGATTTTATTGCGTTGACATCCTCAGGTAGTTGACATAAATGGCTTACTTCGTTGTGTGCGGGCGTTCTTGTGTGTAAACGAAGATCACACATATCTTTCCTACTCTTTCATTTGATCATCCATTAATATTGAGCTATAGTATGAAACAGCCGTTGCATAAATGCCCAAATAAATCGCAACGGATATCCTCCAAATGTTGTGCCCTCACAGATTCCGCAAACTTGACTCACACATCTGTTGGTCGCTTAGACTCACACAGCAATGTTCGGGACTGGAAAGTCACCGGGAGGATAGAGTGATTGGGGTTGCAGCACAGTCACCGTCTCGCTCACACGGTCAATGGTACCGATGTATCAGCACAGAGCCATGAGGAGGCAATAATTGATCCTGTGGCCATTTGATCCCCCTCGCAGCAACGAGACAGAGGTTTTGTTCTGAGTTAGAGTGCTCATTACGGCTTGAACAGGGAAACGCAAAAGTGGTATGCCTATACTTGGCCTTTGACACTGTTAGAAAGAAGAATTTGTCTGCGCGCTCCCATTAATTATTAGTTCTGTTCCATCCAACTGATATATCCAAAACTATGGGAAGCAGTTTGGAGGCAGAACACCGCTTCTGCCAAGCTGACGTAGGAGACTCACCTGTCTACCAGGTGGAGCACTCTCTGTGCTTCACAGTAACCGCACGATACTCCGATCGTTGATCATTAAGAACAAATTAACCTTACTACTGTCCACTTGGCACACTGAACGCGCATTTGAAACTGCAAACTTTGTCACAATATGGCCGCCTCGACAAACACACAAAACAAGTGACCGTGTGAGGAAGTTAGATCCGACAGTTAAACGACTTCGGGATAGGGGATTTTCAGGCTGACCCCAACGGTTTTGAATATAAACTTCGGTAGTGTCACTGAAATTAGGCGGTTAACTGTGTACTTTATCCCGGCATTTTTAGAGCATTTCGTCAACACAGATATTTCTGTGAACACATCCCTTACTGTCGTTGTCTGAAGGAAGCTGCAATCATACTACGCACTCCAACAAATATGGGATGGTCACTATCCGATTCGATTATCTCAGCGTCTTTCTTAGTGAAATGACCGTGTTTGTGTGTATCCCAAGTGAACAAGCTAACTGTCTGCGTTAGTTATCCTACACTTATATACCTACCGCTACAATACGCGAACAAGTGAAACTAGCCCCATCCACCACAGTGCAACTATCGACGACCCTCCAAGGGAAGTAGACGGCGATTCAGTCTCTTCTTAACTTGCTCGGAGCGGTTTGACTTACTTCGGTACTTAATGGCGGATAAGGCAACGCAATATGAGAGGTGATTCAGTGGGGTTGAATGACGACCGGATTGCGGTGCAAAACGTAGACAAATCCATAGTGAAAGTCAATCTTTAGAAGGCCGTTGTTTCATCAAGTAGAACTAAAACCTATCCGATATGCCCGTACTTAAACCTTCGGGTAATGTGTCACACTGCATAGACGTCTCGCTATGGCCATAACTCGGAACAAGCGTCCGGTTAATTTCGCTTGCTGGAAAACTAAAGCAAATTTGTTGAACAGAAGACCGCATCGATCGCGGATGAGGCGTGCTCAAAAGTGTGATTTTACACTTGTCCAGTCTACGTTGGCGATAGCGCCAAGCAAGTCTTGATTATCGGCAACGTTTTCTTATCGGAAATCTGGGTCCTCCCAACGAGGTCGCTGACTCCGTCTTGCTAGCGCTCCCCTACAGTCGGTCAACGGTGTCTTTTCACTGATAACAACGGATGGGCTATAAGGGCGAACAGACAACTAACCCCCTTGGTGAGTCCCGCGTCCACCTGTAGAGTATTGGCTAGGACTGCCCTGGTAACTTCACGTAGTTGCGTGATTTTCGATTCGGGCTGCGTTCTTCCTCTTGGCAACACGATAGCAGTAACCCCAAGCGAATGAACAACCGAGGTAGCCTCGGAGACAAGACACCTACGTAGTGCCTTAAGTAACCAGGACCGAGTGAATCGTGATTGTAACCATCGTTGCAGGTCTCCTGGCGCATCTTGAAACTGTGCGAAATCACGGTCTGCATGGGGACTCTTTAGCAAACAGGAGTAGAATCAATATAAACATTCCATCACTCTACAGTTTTATGGTACAGTCAAAGATGACCGTACGCGACGTGTCTTTGATCACTGAAGTTTCTGATCATGAGTGAATTCTGTGAATTCCTCGGAAGTTCTACTGTGGCTGCTCTTGCTGCGACTTCTTTCGGTAGGCTAATCCTTGACAGTCTTTCTGGCATGCGTCGAATTAAGCAGCAGGTGTATTGCACCCGCTAGTCCGAATGCAGTCTTCAAGTTGCTAGCAGATTTTGAAGTGGACACTGTCGAACTCCACTTCACATACACGGCTGTAATTAATTTAATACCCTACTTGTATGGTATCAAACTTTCTCTGTATTTTTAGGTCACTGTAAACCTTCGATTTTCCAATCCAGAAATGAACTGCAGCATCCCAGACTATTGCTGCGCATTCATGGTGTAGATACTAAAAGTACCATGGTTTTTCCCACACAAGGAATATCAGTACCATAACAAACATTTGCTTACGAGAATGAGCGCGAGCCGGTTGAAGACACGTGGCTTCCCCTCCCCTCCTTTTCCCAACAAGCATTGAGGAGTGTGGGGTAGAGCCGTCTGGTCTCTCGTGTCCACTGATTCGGTCAAGGTGGCTATCAAATCCAGGATTAAACACCACAATGTGCAACAATTGCAGTGCTTGCAGAGTTGGACCAAGCCCAGTGCAATTGGGTTCATTAGCACAAATAAATAGCCAAAGGAATATACCGACCGCGCGAAACACGATCTGCCGGTACTTGATGGCTCATTTTGCACAACTTGGGCTCAGGGTTATTAGTGCAAATGGCTTAATATTTTTGACGCACGATAACATTTTGTCCCATTTGCTGCT